AAGATCAGAAGCTGTCTTGATTGACAACTATATCCCATCTCCTGAAATGATCCTGTTACTCCCAGGTTGATGTTAATCCTAAATTGTACTGTGTTACCTTCCCAGTAAACTTCATAACCATGCTTACAATTTGTGAGTTGTATGTGTTCACCACTGTGAATTATTGAACCAAGCAGAGAGTGTCTTCAGGAGGACAGTTAGTGTCAGAAAGAGTGGAACAGGTTGAAGAGGGGAGCTATGTTTTACTTGCACCTCAGAAGAATTAGCCTCGGGCTGGTTATTCTCTCTCCTCCTGAAGTTGGACTAGCTCCGTTGCTGCCACTACATTACAAAGAGACTTGGTAAACATATTCTCTTTCTATAGGTCATAACTGTAGGTTCTTAGAAATGGTCTCAAAAGTGACCTTGACAAAGCTACCAGGGTGAAGTATAGCTCAATTTGCATAAAACAAGATTTTATCTTCATATATGTGTGTTTGTACATGTATTTATGTACATTCTCAAAAAAAACCAATGTTTTCTGATCAAAGATCAAAGTTCTGCTTTCATTTCAACAGATGATGGTTTTAGAAAATAAAGGAGTTCAACTCAATGCCGTTGTGTCAGAACCGACTCAGAGCTGATCTTCAGTGGGTTTCCAGGGCTGTAAATTGCACAGAAAATGATTCCTCCCTCTCCGTCTGAGTTGCTGGTGGATTCACACAATGAAGGAGGCACTGCCTTTGGGTTAGCAGTGTACTTCCTAATGATTATGTCACCAGAGCTCCCTCAAGAAGTAAGATTTTAGCATATTTCTGTTACTTCCACAAGAAAGTCATTGGGACTGAACTGCATTGGGAAGGAGACTGTCAATGTGTTTAATGAAACAAAGAGACAAAATTTCAGGAAAAATAAGAGCACTGATAGCCAAGGGAGAAAGAAGCATACTAACAAGAGATTTTCAGTCAGAGGAGTCAACAAGAATGGAGCAAGGAAGAAACAAGTTAAGGTTGAGCTGGATCCAAGAATCTCAGTTCATAGACAGGGAGGTTTTGAAATAATCCTGTTGTGTACCTCTTCTGCAAACACTGCTTCTTAAGAAGCTTTGTGGAAGTGGATACCATTTACCTTAATCTTTCTATCCACTGTTCCTCTCCCTGATCTTTACTAGGATTTCTCAGGGTTCTCTGGAAGGCCATGGAATCACATATTGTATCCTTAAGTTTTCATGAAGCGGGCTATCTTTGGTTTGCTCCTGAAAGCTAAACATTGTGTGCTTGTCTGAGAGTTCATGCAACATATGAAGCTATAAAAAAATCCTAGTCCTTTTGTTACACATCTGATGACCCACAAGTTTAGTGGCAGACAAAGGAAAGTGAATAAAAAAGGTCCTATGGGCTTTAGACAAGGCAGACACAAGTGTATTTTTAATTAAGTATTATCTATCATGCTGAATTTCCTTACTACATCCAATGGCTTATCTCTAACATGTTGAAAGCCTAACGCTTGGACATCTACAAATTACCTTATTTTGAAACAGGGGCTTTATTTTGTTAAACTATAAATTGTGAATAACCTACAGAAGAATGGAAATCCTATAACACTTGGAGTGTACTCATATGAAACCTATACTTGGTCAGGAAGCATTCATCAGAACAGAGGAAGGAAAAACTGCATAGTTCAAAATCAGGAAAGGAGTGTGTCAGAGATGCATCCTGTCTCCAAACATTTTCAATCTATAGGCAGAATATATAATTTGGGAGGCTGGACTTTATGAGGAGAAATGTGGCATTAGGATTGGAGGAAGACTCATCAACAACCTGCTTTATGCAGATGACACAAACTGAAGAGGACCAGAAATGTTTGCTGCAGAAAGGCAAGGACCGTACTCTTCAATATGGATTGAAGCTTAACATCAAGAAGACAAAGATTTTCACCACTGGGTCAATTGACAGAACCATGATAGATGGAGAAGAGACTGAGATTGTGAACAATTTCACCTTGCTTGGTTCCACAATCAACACTCTCAGCACAACAGTCTGCATATCAAAAGACAAACTGCATTAGGAGAATCTGCTGTCAGGGCCCTCTCCGGAGTGCTAAGGAGCAATGATGCTAGTCTAGAGACTAAGGTGCACCTGATCCAGGCCATGGTCTTCATAATTACTTGCTATGCATCAGAGAGCTGGACAATGATTAAGGATCACAGAAGAATCAATGCCTTTGAGTTGTGGTGCTGGAGAAGAGTACTGAATATACCATAGACTGCCAAAACAAGAAAGAGGTTTGTCTTAGAGTAAAATCAAAGTCTCTCCTTGGAGGGAAGAATTATGAGTCTCCATCTCATATACTTTGGGCTTGTTGCCAGGAGAAATTAGTCCCTGGAGAAGGACATCATGCTAGGAAGAATGTAAAGACGGTACAGGAGAGGAAGAACCTGGATGAGAAGGACTGATACAGTGACTGAGATGGGTGTGTTGGAGACAGTGAGATAGGCTCATGATAGGGAAAGGCTTAAAGTTATTGTGCATAGGGTTACTATGAGTTGCAAGCAACTCGATGGCACATAACAACAACATAATAACATGAAAGCAAATGTGTTTTTATGTTAGTGATGTCATGTTAGAGTGAGTCCTTGACCTTCTTACATGTGAGTTAAAAAAAGAATATAGGACAGTCACAGAGACATACACAGGAGGAAGATGCCATATGAAAACAGGCTCACATTGCAGATAAATCTACAGGCCCAGGAACATCAAGAATTGCCAGCTATCAGAAGCTAAAGTTTATGAAGAAGGACCTCCTTCTCTTAGAGTCATGCCTCAAATTTGGGCTTCTAGACTTCCAAACCATGAGAAAGGAAAAAAAAATTCATTCTTCAAAGTTACCCATTTGGGATTTTTTTTTTGGTCGCTGTTACAGTAGCCTTAAGTAACTTGGACAAGAGTCTTTTGGATATACATAATCATGACATCTAGAAATTAGGAGTTTCATTCGTTCACTCTAATCCTTTTTTAAAAAATTATTAATTATTAATTTTAATGAACGTTTACAGAAACTTCGGATTTCCATTCATTCATTGTTGCATTTTTCTCCCTGCCCACCTCTCCCCTGCCCCATTCGCTCTTCTCTTTGAAAAGTAAAAGAAAATTCTTTCATTGGTATACAATCCCTTACCCCCCGAGTATAATCCACTATGCAGCCTTCGTTCTGGACTCTTGTCATGACCATAATACCCAATCACATATTACTTTTATTTTTTATTTTTTATTTTATTATTTGTGTTTGTGCGTGTACCGTCAAATCAGATCTGAATGGTACAGGAGGAGATTGTCTCTCCTTCTCCAACACAGCATCTGGCAGATTCGAACTGCGCACCTCTGGGACTGCAGTGCAGCTTCTTGCCAATAGGTCCCTAGTGTATTTCTTGAAGAGACTAAGGCATAAGAACAACACGGGACACTGTGGAGATCCAAAGGGGCAGTCTACATCAGATAGTGGAGAAATCTATTCTGAGGGTTAATGCAGCTTGCACAGGGGGTCTGGGCCAGAGAAGATTCACCACAGACTAGAACAACAGCGCCAGTGGGACTCACAAAAGATAAATTTTCAACAGCTCATCAAATAACCCTGAAGGGAGGTGGAAGCATGCCCTGAGAGGCGTGGAAGTGCATTGACAGTCTCTCCTGGATGGCATGGACATTGGAAACTGAGGTCAGGTAGCTAATGAGAATCAAAGCAGGACTGTACTCCTTCCACTCCACCAGTAAAGCTGCCTTTCAAAGTCCTGCCTCCAGAAACTCTATGGACATGGAGAAAGCACTGAAGTTATTCAAGTGTTCAGGTCTTTCATTCATAGGGTTGCTATGAGTCATCCACGACTCGATGACACTTAACAACAACAACAGCATTAACTAATTAGGGATGTCTGGTGCCATAGTCCCTGTGGAGGTTTACTGCTAACCTAAAAATGGCACCTCTCTGCTGGTTCGAATTCACTAGGAACTTTAAGGGGAAAAAAGTGGACAATCCCATCTCGTTCAGTTTAAAGCCTCTAAAAACTCTTTGCAAGGTCAGTTGTGAAACAGTTCTAACTCAAAAGAAATTAGTTGAGCTTGACTAACTAGTTAGGACACTACCCATTGTTCCTATTGTGTTATTCTATTTCTCCCTGACCTGCATCACTTTACGTTTTCTGTTTGAATGCTTTTCCCCCCTGTTTTGGCTATGTATTTATATAGCTTCCTTGTCTTTCTTTCCCTAGACGTTATTCTATCATCTTTCTGCTTTTCAATTTATGCATTTGCCTTTATTTCTAACTTTGCCTTTTCCTAAGACCTTAACTATGAAAATTATATTTAAGCAAATAGACACAAACATTCTCATGTGCTATGCAAATGTATTTATTTATGCAAATATATAAACTTCTGTTTATGCTAATACATTTTATGCATAAGATTTCATATTTTCTGAGCTTTATTTTAAAATTGGATTAATCTTGTTTCAGTTTTTCAAAACTTTCCAATCTGAAGTTGTTCTTTGTTTTCTTAAATCCCTTGATGGTATTTAATTAATATCCCATTTGGGTGTAAATTTAAAATAAAGATATGCCTCCTATATTTTACAGTGTAGTAGTTGCAACTACTACAGTGGTCATAATATCCATTCAGAGCAGTTTCTTTTTATTCAGGATCATTGTTTATTGAATTTCCCAAGTATCCCTGGAGCCATCCATGGAACTACAGACACCAAATTCCATTGAAAGTCAAAATACCAAAGGCTTACAGACAAAAGTAAGAATAGTGGTGTGCAGCGGTGTGTGTACATGGGGGTATTTCACAAAAGTGTTTGAAGTCAGAGGAGAAGTGAGTTTTGATGCTTTCTGTTAGGAATTAAAGAGTGCCAAATAAGTCTTTATGCAAATAAGGACAGAGATAGTTTGTTTCATTTCCCCCCATATATTTAGCAGTTCCCCAACCCATTTTATAAGTTATAGTTCTTTACCTTGAGGAAGTGATTACCTGTTTTTCTGTTAGGATCACTCTCCGTAGTAACTGATTCTCAAGTCCTTTCATTGTAACAGTGAAATCAATGACGGACGTCTTAGCATTGATTTCAGGAGTAAAGGCAGGGTTTGGTAACTTTGTAGTAATATAAAGCTTAAATGAATCCATGATGTCACATTCCTTATCACCAACTTTCACCTACATCAATTCAAATATAAAATCAGAAATCGCTTCAAGGAAAGCACAAACCTAGGTTCAATTTAGGGAAGAATTTACCAAAGGTCAGTGCTGTGCGATTACATTGAATTGTGAAGGAAATTTATAAAATTTTAATTACTGATCAATAAAGCCTATTAATTTAGAATCATTTAGATTCATGGGCTGCCTTAAGCTGTTTGTAGCCACAACACTAAGCAAATTAAAGGGAAATGCATCTTAAACAAAGGGTGAATACAGGAAAATTCAAATGCAGCTAAGGTTTTACTTCAAAAGTTAAGTGCTATATTGACTTATATTATCACTCATGCCAATTGTCATAGGACAGCTATGGCTATTTCCCACCCCCATGAGCCTTTTGGGTAAGGAATTGCACTGCAACACAAAGGTGGGCAGTTCAAAATCACCACCTGATCTGCAGGAGAAAGATGAACAATCTCTTGTACTGTGATTTAGAGCCTCTGAAAAGCTACTGGAGTATCTACTATGAGTTGGTTCTGATTTGATGACAATGAGAGAGAGAGTTGGAAACTTTCTGTGTTTCTAATATTATTAGTACATTTCATGTCATACCTGAACAATTGAAAGCATTAATGCAATTTCTAAAGAAAAATGCCCACATTTTTGTTTTTAAAATAATAGCATTGTCTTACTTTATTTTACTATCTAAAATTCAAGCAGAAATTAAAACACTTAAAAATTTCTTAAAATACTTCATAAATCTTAATCCTGCATGCAGTTGAAAACCACATAAAGAGCTTTAAAACATCCTGAGGCCTTCATAGCACAGGTAAGAACTGGGGGGAATCTATTAAAAGACCTTCAGAAATGAAGGTCTTAGACATGTTAAATGTAATTATTAAAGAACACACATTATAAGAAAGTTTTTCTAACCAACTTTGCCTTTGTTTAATGAGAAAATTTCCATTCTTTCTTTAATCATTGATATTCATAAAAGTCAGATAAGAAAAAATTCTATTGGAAATGGTGAGATTTATCAAGAAATGCAATCAAAAAAGTGTGAGGGCAGGGAATGACAACAAAAAAGAAATACAATGAAAATAATTCATGTTATCATGAACAACTGCACCCAGTAAAGTCAATGAGTTTAGACTGAAAGTTAATAAAGAGAGAAATGAACAAATCAATGTCATTAGGCTTTAATAAAATGCCATTTTCTCTAGTGAGTAAATCCTACTTATCAAATTGGTAGGTGTGTTTGTAAAACCAAACCAGCTGATTCTGATTCATAGCAAACCCATGTGTTTCAGAACAGCAGTGCATTCCACAGGAGTCAGAAAAAGGACTGTGACCTTCTGGAAGAAGAATGCCAGACTTTTCTTCTGAGGCACCTCTGGGTGGGTTCAAAGTGCCAACTTTTCCATCACCAGCTCAGCAATTAACTATTTGAGTTACCCAGGTACATATTGTTGTTTCTGGGAGCTACTGGCTCTATCTTGACTCATACATCCACCACCACAGCAGAGACCTGCCCAATACTGCTTTTTGGGCTATAATCTTTACAAGGATAGACTGTTGGATTTTCTACCAGAATTTCTAGGTGGGTTGAATTGCCAACCTTTAAATTCACAATGAGAGGCTAACCTGTTATGGTATCATTTTTTTTTTTTTT